ACTTACAGTTTCTTACAGGTGGAACCGTCACGAGGCTGTTACCAGGCAGATAACTGAGGTGACAGAAATTCTCTATTAGTAAAAGCTAAGACCATGCTAATAGCGGTCTGATGTCCTGACCTACTCAGACAGAAACGAGAACAAACAACCCAAATGGGTAAGTAGAACTGTTTTCTAATGGTATTAACTTGCATATTTGACATTCTTTTTAGCCCTATTTTTAAAGCTCAAAACCAGGGTGCAGCCAATATGTAAGAACAGTAGGGGCTGGTCTCCCTTCTCTCCTTTCCTGCCTGCTGAGATCTTGGACCATGGGCTGGTCGCTGACCCTCATCTTTCTTCCAGGTCAGGTTCCAGTGAAGCTGAGGGGCCAGTCACACTTGCCCTGTAAACTCTGACAGGAGAGTATAAAGTGCAGCTCCTCCAACTACCTCTGACAGCTCCAAGTGGGAGACGCTCTACTCTCAAATGGGAGGACAGAAACACTGATTCCACAAGCGGGCATCAGTCAGTGCTCGTGGTGCTAAATTCTACTAAGCACTCTTTCTGTACCAGGCCCTGTGCTCAGCATTAAAGATACACACCTCTATTTCAGATAATGGTGATAAATGCAGTACAGAAGATAATGTTGAAACACAGTCCCTAACAAATAGCTATTCACGAATGAGAAGAAATGCTGTAAGAAAATATGCAAACATTTTTAATCCCCAAACTTCTGTACTGCTCTGAACCGAGGCCTCCCCTGGTGAAAGGGTGAGGGCAGATTATTGCTAGATTCCTGTACAATTCAAAAATTCTATGATGCTTGGTTTTAGTAGGGCCATTTTCTACTGAACTTGACCCATCACATTAAGTAGTTCAAGTCTTAACTTTTAAATAACTAAATGCTATTAAAATTTCAGTAAGGGAAAAACGCAATAAAGAGGAAAAACAAATTATGTGTAGCATGAAAGTTCTTATAAAACCAAAAGAAAGACAAACACTCATTGAAGAAATAAGAAATGTGAATTTCCAGTGCAATTATTAAAAAATATTAGATTCTTTTGCATGCACTAGATTGAATGCTCATATATAATCTGATGCATAGTAGGTGCTTGCTAAATATTTGTTGAATAAATTCAGTATAACAAAAATCAAGCAGCCAAATAAAACATTCCAATCTCCAGTGTACAGGGTTTGAAGAAATGATATTACCTATTTGTGGTAAAGACAAGTGACCATGGAACTCTTTCTTGGAAGGCAGTTGAAGTGCCTATCTTTTGCCTAACATAAGGTTTCAAATTCATGTAGTATCTAGTAATTATTCAAAGAGAGAATCAGACAAGTGCCCACTATGCATGTATTAAAAAACCAGGGTGTAGTGAAAAATAGGAAACAATTCTAGGGACTTCCCTGGTAGCTCAGATGGTAAAGAATGTGCCTGCAGTGCAGGAGACTGGGGTTTGACCCCTGGGTTGGGATGATCCCCTGGAGAAGGGAATGGCAACCCACTCCAGTATTCTTGCTTGGAAAATCCCACGGACAGAGGAGCCTGGTGGGCTATAGTCCATGAGGTTCCAAGAATTAGTGACTAAAACACCACTAACCAACAGTAAGGAATTGGTTAATAGAGATACAGTGTATCAGTTCAGTTAAATACTAAGGTATACAAGCAAGGTGCACATAAGGTTACCATATGACACAGCAATTCCACTCCAAGGTACATACCCAAGAGAAGTGAAAACATATGTCCATATAAAGAACTTGTCTACAAGTGTTCACAGCACCATTATTCATAATAGCAAATGTTCACTAACTGATGAATAAACAAAATGTGGTGTATCAACACAATGGAGCATTACTCAGCCATAACAAGGGATGATGTACTGGTACATGCTACAACATGGATGAACCTTAAAAACATTACACCTAAGTGAAAGAAGCCAATCACAAAAGATGATGTATTGTATGGTTCCAGAATTTATTAAAAAAAAGGAAATGTCTGGAGTAGGTAAATCCAGACAGAAAGTATACTGATGGTTGCTTAGGGCCAAGTGGAGTGACTGCAAATATGTATGGGCTTCTTTTGGGAAGGATGCAAGTGTTCTGGAATCAGATAGTGTGAGAGTTGCACAAATCTGTGAATATACTAGTAAGCATTGAATTATACACTTTAAAAGGTTGAATTTTCCCAGTGCCTTTTTTTTTTTTTTTAACAGAAATAGAAAAATTCGTCCTAATGTTAACATGGAATCTCAAGGGACCCCAAGTAGCCAAAACCATCTTGAAAAAGAAGAATAAAAGTTGGAGATCTCACACTTCCTGACTTCAAAATTTACTATGAAGCTCTAGTAATCAAAATAGTGTGATACTGATATAAAGACAGAGATATAGGCCAATGCAAAAGAATAGAAAGCATGTAAATACATTCTCTTATATATTACCAAATGATCTTTGACAACAGTGCCAAAACTATTCAGTGGGGATGGAACAATCTTTTCAACAAACGGTGCTGGGGAAAATGGATATACAAATGCAAAAGAATGAATTTGGATCTTTTTCTTATATACAAAAATGAAAATCGATTAAAGACCTAAATTTAAGACCCCCAAACTATGAAAATCTTAGAAGAAAACAGGATCCAATCAATCCAAAACAATCTAATTTATGACACCGAATTTGGCAATGATTTCTTAGTCTGACACCAAAAACACAGGTCACATAACCAAAAATATACAAAGAGGACTAGATCAAACTTAAAAAGACGGAGACAGTATTTGCAAATCATATATCTGCTAAGGGGTTAATATCGAGAACATATAAAGAACTCCAACAACTCAACAACAGAAAAGCAATCTGATTTTAAAGAGAGCAAAGGATTAGAAAAGGTATTTCTCCAAAGATGATATACAAATGACCAAAGGCATATGAAAAGATGCTCAACATCACAAATGATTAGAGAAATGCAAATCAAAACCACAGTGAGATATTACAGTCACTGGGCAGAAGACCTAAACAGACATTTCTCCAAAGATGACATACAGATGGCCAACAAATACAGTAAGAGATTCAACATCACTAATGATCAGAGAAAAGCAAATCAAAACTACAGTGAGGCATTCACCTTACACAAGTCAGAATAGCCACTATCAAAAAAATTTACAAATGATAAATGCTGAAGAGGATGTGGAGAAAGAGAACCCTCCTACACTGTTAGTGGGAATGTACATTGAGGCAGCCCAGTACAGAGGTTCCTTAAAAAACTAAAAATACAACTACCATATGACCCAGCAGTACCACTCCTGGGCATATGCCCAGAGAAAACCATAATTCAAAAAGATATATGCACCCCAATGTTCACTGCAGCAGTATTTAAATAGCCAGGACATGGGAGTCCCCTAAATGTCCATCAACAGAGAAATGGATAAAGATGTGGTACATATATACAATGGACTATTTATTAGTCAGCCATAAAAAGGAACAAATTGTGCCATTTGCAGAGACATGGATGAATCTAGAGGCTGTCATAAGGAGTGAAGCCAGAAAAACAAGTATCATATATTAAGACATATGCATGGAATCAAGAAAAAATGGTAGAGATGATCTTATCTGCAAAGTACAGAGACAAATGTACAGATACCAAGGAGGGGTGGGGGTGGGATGAACTGGGAGGCTGGGACTGACATATGTACACTACTGTGTATAGAACAGATAACTAATGAGAACCTACTGCAACACAGGGAACTAGGTGCTCTGTGGAGAGGGGATCTATGTACACGTATGCCTGATTCACAGCAGTGTAAACCAACTATATTCCAATTAAAAAAAAGAAAACAGTGAGTATAGTCAACATCTCATAATACTATAATGGAAAAGAATCTGAAAAATATATATATATACACATATATTTATATGTATAAAAATCATTTTGCTGTCCCCTTGAAACTAACAGAAAATTGTAAATTAACTATACTTCAATAAAAACAAAGTGAGATTACTTCGTTTCACTGGAATAACTGCTATCAAAAGAACAGAAATTAACAAGTGTTGCTGAGGATGCAGAGAAATAGGAACACTTGTGCACTGGTGGTGGTTGTTTAGTCTCTAAGTCATGTCCAACTCTTTGTGACACTATGGACTGTAGCCCACCAAGTTCCTCTATCCATGGGATTCTCCAGGCAAGAATACTGGAGTGGGTTGCCACTTCCTTCTCCACTGGTGGTGGGAGTGTGAAATGTTACAACCAGTCTGGAGAGCAGTATGGTGGTTCCTTAAAAATTAAAAATAGAACTACCATATGATCCAACAATCCCACTTCTGGATATATGCCCAAAAGAACTAAAAGCAAGGTCTCAAAGAGATATTTTCACACTCGTGTACTCATCATTATTCACAACAGCCAAGAGATGGAAGCAATCCCATGTTCACTGATGAATGGATAAAGAAAATGTGGTATATCCATAAAATGGAATATTATGCAGCCTAACAACTGAGAGAGATCTTGTCAAATTCTACAACATAAAAGAACCCTGAGGACACTGTTAAATGATATAAGCCACATGAGATATTCAAAGTAGTCAAATTCATTGAGATTGAAATAGAAGTACTTACCAGGCCTGGGGGGATGGGCAGTTGATGTTTAATGGATTTAGCTTCAGTTTTGTAAGACAAAAAAGTTCTGGAGATCTGCACAACAGTGTGAATACAGACTACAGGCCTGTACACTTAAAGTGGTTAAGATGGTTAAAAAGAAAAAAGGGTGAACCTTATGATATGTGAATTGTAACTCAAAAAAAGTTACATGAAAAAAATTGAGTTACAAAACTGTAAAGTAAAACTGTGTACACAGAACAGAAAGAAAATGTAAGAATCTACTGAAAATGTGAATAGCTAAGTTACATGTGAAAAATCTATGCTTTTCTGCACTTTCAGACTTTTTTTCTGGTGAAAATGCATTACCAAGATATATAAAAAACAAGGCACTTTCTTAGTTTAGGGGTTAAAAACGAGAAAAGCAATACCTGGGCTGGAGTGTTTGTAGTCACAGGAGATGGCGATTCACTAACTTTTGGCTCACTTGGGGACGCGGCTGACCCCTGCGACTCCTGACTGGCTGGCTGGTCCGGAGACAAAGCATCACTGCTGTCTTCGTCAAATGAGAAATCGCCCTGAGTTTGGGGATAGTCCTCTTTCCCAACTCCTAAAGAAAGAAGTGATTCTTAATTGATCTTGGCCTTGGAATACTAAGGTTAAAATGAAAAAGGAGAAATATTAATCATTATAAGGACTGAAGAAAGCTTTTTAAAAACAAAGTTGGACATAACAATGGGAGAATACACAACTACCTATGATAAATACCTGGCGGTGGGGGAACCAAACCTGAATCAGATCAAGCCTTTGGATCTGACTACTAACAATTGGAAATATAGGAGACAAGAAATTTTTTAAATGACACCTAGGGATGCAAATGCATTCAGAAAAATCTATACAGTGTGGGAGTGCTTAAGGACAAAATAAGTTCATTCATCCGCAAATAAAAAGGAAAGAAAGGAAGACTGACCTAAGAGATAAATCAGCTAAAGACAATGTGTGGAGCTTGCTTGGATCCAACTGTTGAAAAACATTATGAGGCCAGATGGGGCTCTGACTGGTGTATCTGTTGATAAGTCCCACCTAATGGAGCGGCGCTGCTGTACTGACACCTTACCTTTTGGGGCCTGTTTCTCTGGAATTGAATGGAATCACAGAAAGAGCAACTATAGACTGCCTAAGATTTAAACTCATACTAATGCAAAATATGATGTTCCCATAAGTCACGGTAACTTAAACCTCTTGTTAGAAGAATCTCTGTGTTAACTGGTACTAATCTTATAATACATACTATTAATAATAACAATAATAATAATATGGAGATAAGTACAAATGTTAATTTCTAAATCACCCAGAAAACAATAATCATGATTGGTGCTGGCTTTAAAATTAGATCTTTCTTATCTAAAACTTCCAAGTTTCTTTGTCTCCCAGAAAATAGTAAAATTTTAAGAGTCTTGCCTATAATTGCTTCCTTAACACTGGAGTCTACAGGAAGGATGTTTTTCTCTACCAGCTCCATAGGACCAGGTCTTTGAGCAATCTTTTCATTCAGATCATCAGCTAGTCGAGCTCTTTTCAACTTCATCTGAGTAGCCTGCAGGGACGGCTCTGCAAATGTTTCTAAAAGAGGAAACACAGGTTTAATCATTACTTGAATTACTGTCTCTACTCCATAATGTTATTTCAGGCTAACTAATTTAACTGGTGTAAACTTATTTATGGAGAGATAACGACTGCTTGAGAATGCTCCCATCCGCAATTTACATTTCTAGTCCTGGAAAGCTTTATATTGTCCACACAATGTGGATGTCCTTGGACTCAAATTAATATGAACTCAAGCCAAAACCAGTGTGCTGCTATTGCTTATTTATGATAGGAGGGTCAAATTCACATCTATTAGGTACTGGGGATACAGAGGATGAACAGGGGAGAGAGATGCGGTCCATGCTCAAGAAGCTTGCAGTTTTAATTTGGCTTCATTGGAAAGTCACTTCTTCGAAGGGGTGACACTGTATCTCAGAATATAAGCTTCTCTGCAGGAGTTGGTGGCAAGAGCTACAAATCATATTCCTGTACATCTCAGAGTCCTTCATAATAATTAAAATTTGGATTTATTTCTGAATAAATAACCTTGAGACATTCAATTACACAGTAATTAACTGTCATACAGAAACATCAACTCATGTACCCACGAATGCATAAAGCTGTATAATAGATGTGAAACTACTATAAATATCGTAACTCATAAACAGCATGTATTTGCATAATTCCTGTGTTTCTGGTAATGCTCATTAGCATTTTATTACATTGTTCTAAATAATATTTATGACTGACTATTGGTATTAACTCAATATTGTGCTGAAAGTTGCTTGCTCCTTAAATTATTCAGTAGAAGGTCTTTTAATGAAACTCCCTGTAGTAACCTCAGGATTGTCTGATGTTTTTCATTCTTTAGGTCAGATGTCCTGGCTGAGGGCCAAAGCACAGAGACCCTATGGCCAGTAAACTACCCTTCAGCACGGCGGAGCACTTCTCTTTTCACCTTATGTGCTTAAAAAATCAATCTCGGCTGTCCACAAGACAGTGCATCACTATGGTGATTGCCATCGTCACTCACAATTTAACTAAATGTTACGGGGAAATCATAAACTTCAAAAATAAAATGATTATTTCTTGGAAACCTGAGTTAAATGCTTTGACATGACTTGATAAAGGCAAGTCATTAAAAAAAAAAATCACTCTCACATCAGGACAACTAACAACTATAGAAGATTTGGGGGAAAAACGATAAAATTTAAGATTTTTAAAGTCAGACTGCTTTTCAAGTATCTTTACATTTTGATCCACCATGAATGGAAATTGCAGATGATTCCCCATGTGAAGTTCTTAGTCCTAAGTCGGCATATTGGTAAATAAATGGATGTTTCTATAACTTAACATATGTGTCCATCTCATTTTTATAACTTTCCTGTATAAAACAACTCTGGCTCCAATCTTAGTAGATAAAGCCCTTCTAACTGCACAGGAAGACGATAAGTGGGGGAAGATCATATAAATCATTCTGAAGATGCCTTTGCCTCCCTTCCACTGACACTATCCAAGTGATATCAGGAATGTTTGGGAAGAAGATATTCCAAAAGCAAGTAAGTAGAGGCTGGCATTTCAGTATGCTTCTATTCTGGTCTAACTGCATCTTCATCTCCATGAGGCGGAGGTAAAACTTCAGGAAATAATTTAAACTTCTGCCTGCCAAACATCCAATTCAATCAAAATTGGGATGATGGAAAAATAAGTTGCTGGTGGTTTTAAGGTATTTTTAAAATTATAGATGAGACATTCTTTCTTACTTCAAAAATCTCAACTTCAGAATAGATGTCCTAAAGACATCACTTATGGTTTATTCCTATGTATAATTAGGTTTTTAAATGCTGAAGAGTCTGTTTTTAGAAAAAGCAAATATGATTTCTTTTGACAGTTAAACGCATTTGCCTTAGTTTTAATTATGTTAATAAAGCCTGTTACAGTCAGATGACAAATTGAAACAGGCAGTGTCATTTCTACAAAAATGTCTCTTACAGGTCAAGATATTTTCAGGCACAGAAGGAGTCATTTACTAAGTTACTTACCAGCAAACTTGCTTCTCTGAAGATTCACTTATCCCTGACAGCTTGTGGCTGCTCCTACCCTACCACTGGAGTTCTGGAAAAGCTTTTTTAGTCCAGTAGAAGTGGAGAAAGGCATAGACTTCTTGCCTCCCATCCCAGACACGAAGATAGTTACCTAGTCATAGATTATCTGGATTAGAAGAGACTCTACTTGGGGTTTTAGGGACCATCTTGATACTTGGAACTGCTTTACAACATTCTTTACATGGTGTCAGTCTGTGTTTATTCCCTGTAGGGCACGTTCCACAATCTGTAATTGACTTGTTTTGCCTGCGTATAATCTCTCTGCCACTAGAATGTAAGCTCCATGAAGGGGGGCATCCGACTGGTGCCTAGCTTGCTGGCCAGAGAACCAACACCTCTAGTAAGGACAACCATGTCACTTTCTGAAGATTTTATTTGTAGACAACTGACTGACCTTTATGCTAAGCTAAAATCTAATACTCTGTAATATCAACCTAATTCTATCTATTAGGCCAGAGAAATCTAAATCTTCCTCCTACCTAATAACTGTCTCTAAATGTTTGAGAAGTTGCTGTATCTTCTCAAGGTTTCACACTCTCAAGGCTATCACAAGGTCAGGCTCCTCGTCTTGCTCAACAAATTAAGTCAGTGAAGCAAAACAATGGAAGAAAATGTATCTCGGGACTTTATGGTAGAAGTACCACCTTCCAAGAAGGCTTTATCTTTAGAGAGAAAAAGCCACAGCCTGAGCCACAGGCCTCACCAAAGATGGAATGGAATTGTCCTTACCAGCTTTGTAAAAGATGAGGCTCAGGCATGGAGAAAATGTGGTGGGCTGAGGGGAGCTTGTTTGTGATAATGGTCAGATCAAGCTGGATTGTTGTGGGTAAGCAGCAACAAAGAAAAATGTTAGGTGTGGGCTTGCCCCAGGTAGACACAACAGGGTCCAAGTAGTTGAAAATCTAGGGTTAGACTTGTGTCTATCACACCCTTTATGGTGAGTGGGCACACACTGCCCACTGGTGAAATGTGGACGGAGAATGTTTTTCCAGAACAGTATGGCAGAGACACCTATAAGCACCCTCAGTGGGCAGGGAAGACTCAGTCCATCAATTGGTTATTTGGAGAAGTGGACCTTCCCCATGTATCTAACGTAACACTTTTAGCTTGGGGTCTTCATGCTGCTATCCAATTGATAGGATGTCAGCCTGTGGGGTAAAAAGTTATTAAAATCGAAAGAAATGGTGGAAGTCTCACTTGTTTTCTTGAGAAAATGTAGCAAGATAAGCAGAAACAGAACTTTTACCTTCTAAAATGTGCATCCTGACAAGTTCAGAACGATCTGGTCGACTCCGAATCTTGTGCTTCAAGAAGTTTTCGGTCTTTTAGATAGAGAAAGAGAAAGTTTTACCATAAATTGTTTATGATTTATTGTGGTTTTACATTTTTTTTTTATCAAGGTAACTCCATTTAAATAAATTGCGTATGCTTTTGGTCATGATTTTGAGAGAAAGAAAAGAGTAGAAATTAGTTCTGTGAGAAACTATTATCCAATACAGGGCTTAAATTGCAGCCTTCAAAATTGAATAGGGATTTGAAGTCTATGTTGATATAAAGTAAGCACTTTATAGACTTTAAAACTTGGAAAAGCAGAGGCTAATAATTTTAAAGATGACTTTTGAACAGAGGATCTGAACATATAAGTATCTAGAAATAAAAAAAAAATCTACACTTCAGGTCAAGTAAAAATTCACCTAGATAACACATTTCTTAAAAATTCCAATGTATTGTCTTTGATGAATTCATGGCTTTAACCATATTTTCTTATTCAGAACTGTATTCAATTCTAAACAATATGGCTTTAAAATGAGTTTTGTAGTTCATATGACTCTAAGAGATCATTATTGCATCTTGGGAAAACTCTTAAGGAAATTGTGGAACATGTTCATTTTTATATTGCATGATAGAAGTTTCCTATAAAATGAAAAGAACAAATAGTGGTCCTTTAAAGAAAAATAATAAACATCATTTTAATGCAACTATGATGGAGTCACCTCAGAGAATAAAACAGAGCTGAATATGGCAACACTGCTCCTTCAGTCAAATTCTCCCAGCCTTGGTCAAATGTCCCACTAACACAGACCTGGGAGGGAAACCACCCAAGGAAGGATCTGGTGTAAATCCATCCCTTGGGTTATCCATCTGCAGAGCTAACAACCGGCAGAGATGTTCCATCATTATTCTAAACACTTGTTATGCCCCCAAAGCAAGAAAGAAGTGTGATTTTTCCTTTATGTACAAAACTAGGTTACTAGCTTTAAAGAACAAAATTTGAATGTCCTGTATTTTCTACAAACCTTCAGGATAAAACTACCCCAGGATACACTGCTCCATATACCATGTATCTTGAAAACACACTCAATTTTCTCTACTGACATATGTAGGAGTAAGATTATTACTCGTCCACAGGTATTTTAACACAAAAGAAAGAGGCAGAACATTTTAAATGAAAATTTCTTACTCTGGCTCGTTCCAAGCTTTTTATCTGCTCATGGAATGCCGCGGGGCTCTTCAGAGCTGTGAGAGGAAAAGAAATCATTTCCATGGTATAAATAGAGGAGTTAATACTTCAGTTAAATGTTACAGTATTATCATGGTGATATTTCCTCTTAATCTTATTAGTGTGCCTCTACAGTTCCATTTATTTCCTAGTTCCTTTAGGACAGCTTCAAAATTGAAACCTTGAATGTTTCAGAATTAAAATTACATGTTTCACAAATAAAACAAGTGAACATTTAAAACAGAGTTATAAACATAATGACAACACATGTATCAGGTGAGACTAGTTCCAGCCTGTAGTTGGGGCAAATTACCATTACCAAGGGAACTGTTGGATGGCTCCTTAACAGGTTTTTGCTGTTATGGTCATACAAGCTACTGGAAAAAGTCCACAGGTCCTCAGGGCAGTTAACGTTGGTGTCCTTTAGCCTTGAACACAAGAACACTCTGCAGACCATGTCTAAGGGATCAGAGCTGCCGCTTGCTGAGAGCCTACAATACACTCAGTCGCATGCTCTGTGGTCCAATCTACAGTTATATTGCTGCTGACCACCACAACAGCCTTGTGAGGTTCGTATTGGCCCCAGTACAGATGAAAGGCTCAAAGAGGTTCAGGGAATTTTTGAAGTTATACAGCTAGATGGTCATCTAAGTGGAATTTAAATCTAGAATTCTGAATTTGGCAGGTTCATGCTCTTCCTACCATACCATAATGCAACTCACTCTAAAGACACAATGATTCCTTAATCGGTTAACTGCTAGTACATTAAATGTTCCAGAGTCCCAGAGAGAGAGGCAGTACTTATTAAAAGTATTACCTACTACAGTATTTCTCTCAGTAAACATAATCTTTGAAAAATCGTTAGTGTTTATATCCATCACCGTCTGATCACACCCTGCAGTCATCACTGTGGGTAGTCAGGCAACGGGGATGGGAATCAGGACTAGGCTTACCTGGGCTGTCACCTCTCAGAATTGAGCAATCAGTTCTTGGTAACATTCGACTCTGGTACTTAATGCACAGCAAAGAATCACACAAGTCCAGCCCAAACAGGTTTGGCTAGGGACCAGCTCCTAAAAGCAGACTATAGCTGGCTTTGCAGTGACGTTTAAAGCACCATACTTTCATCCTGCTTGACTGGCTCATATCAAGTATGTAGTGGTAAAAAAAATTTGGCAGATTATCAAATCAGTTTCTGTAAAAAAATTTTTTTATAACCTCTGGCTTTTTTTTTTTTGGCTTTTCTAATTCATTTATTTTAATTGGATGATAATTACTTTACAACATTGTGATGGTTTTTGCCATACATCAACATTAATCCTCTGCCTTTAAAAAAAAATTATTTTTGCTGTGCTGAGTCTTCATTGCTGCATATGGGCTTTCTCTAGCTGCAGCGAGTGGGGAAAGTAATGGGAAATGGGGAGTGGGGAAAAGCTTTGTTGGCAAAGTAATGTCTCTGCTTTTGAATATGCTGTCTAGGTTTGTCATAGCTTTTCTTTCAAGGAGCAAGTGACTTTTAATTTCATGGCTGCAGTCACCATCTGCAGTATTTTTGGAGCCCAAGAAAATAAAGTCTCTCACTGTTTGCATTGTTTCCCCATCTACTTGCCATGAAGTGATGGGACCGGATGCCTTGATCTTCGATTTTTGAATGTTGAGTTTTAAGCCAACTTTTTCACTCTTCTCTTTGACTTTCATCAAGCGGCTCTGTAGTTCTTCTTTGCTTTCTGCCATAAGGGTGGTATCATCTGCATATCTGAGGTTATTGATATTTCTCCTGGCAATCCTTGATTCTAGCTTGTGTTTCATTCCACCCAACATTTCGCATGATGTACTCTGCATATAAGTTAAATAAGCAGGGTGACAATATACAGCCTTGACGTACTCCTTTCCTGAGTTGGAACCAGTCTGTTGTTCCATATCCAGTTCTGTTGCTTCTTGACTTGCATACAGATTTCTCAGGAGGCAGGTAAGATGGTCTGGTAGTCCCATCTCTTTAAGAATTTTACAAAGTTTGTTGTGATCCACATAGTCAAAGGCTTTGGTGTAAACAATAAATCAGAAGTAGATGGTTTTCTGGAACTTTCTTACTTTTTTGATGATCCAACTGATGTTGACAATTTGATCTCTGGTTCCTCTGGCTTTTCTAAATCCAGTCTGAACATCTGGAAGCTCACAGTTCACATACTGTTGAAGCCTGGCTTGGAGAATTTTGAGCATTACTTTGCTAGCGAGTGAGATGAGTGCAACTGTGCAGTAGTTTGAACATTCTTTGGCATTGCCTTTCTTAGGGATTGGAATGAAAACTGACCTTTTCCAGTGCTGTGGCCACTGCTGAGTTTTCCAAATTTGCTGGCCTATTGAGTGCAACACTTTCACAGCATCATCTTTTAGGATTTGAAATAGCTCAGCTGGAATTCCATCACCTCCACCAGCTTTGTTCGTAGTGATGCTTCCTAAGGCCCACTTGACTTTGCATTACAGTATGTCTGGCTCTAGGTGAGTGATCACAACATTGTGGTTATCTGGGTCATAAAGATCTTTTCTGCACAGTTCTTCTGTGTATTCTTGACACCTCTTAATATCTTCTGTTTTTGTTAGGTCCATACCATTTCTGTCCTTTATTGAGCCCATCTTTGCATGAAATGTTTTCTTGGTATCTCTAATTTTCTTGAGGAGATCTCTAGTCTTTCCCATTCTGTTGTCTTCCTCTATTTCTTTGCATTGATCACTAAGGAAGGCTTTCTTATCTCTCCTTGCTGTTCTTTGGAACTCTGCATTCAAATTGGTATAACTTTCCTTTTCTGCTTTGCCTTTCGCTTCTCTTCTTTTCTCAGCTATTTGTAAGGCCTCCTCAGACAACCATTTTGCCTTTTTGCATTTCTTTTTCTTGGGGATGGTCTTGATCACTGCCTCCTGTACAATATCACAAACCTCTGTCCATAGTTCTTCAGGTACTCTATCAGATCTAATCCCTTGAATCTGTTTGTCACTTCCACTGTATAATCATAAGGGATTTGATTTAGGTCATACCTGAATAGTCTAGTGGTCTCCCTACTGTCTTCAATTTAAGCCTGAATTTGGCAATAAGAAGTTCATGATCTGTGCCATAGTCAGCTTCCAGTCTTGTTTTTGCTGACTGTATAGAGCTTCTCCATCTTTGGCTGTGAAGAATATAATCAATCTGATTTTGGTATTGACCATCTGGTGATGTCCATGTGTAGAGTCCTCTCTTGTGTTGTTGGAAGAGTGGTGTTTGCTTTGATCAGTGCGTTCTCTTGCAAAACTCTGTTAGTCTTTGCCCTGCTTCATTTTGTACTCCAAGGCCAAATTTGCCTGTTACTCCAGGTATCTCCTGACTTCCTACTTCTGCATTCCAATTGCCTATAATGAAAAGGAAATCTTTTTTGGGTATTAGTTCTAGAAAGTCTTGTAGGTCTTCATAGAACCATTCAACTTGAGCTTTTTCAGCATTACTGGTTGGGGCATAGACTTGGATTACTGCGATACTGAATGGTTTGCCTTGGAAATGAACAGAGATCATTCTGTCATTTTTGAGATTGCATCCAAGTACTGCATTTTGGACTCTTGTTGACTATAAGGGCCACTCCATTTCTTCCAAGGGATTCTTGCCCACAGTAGTAGATATAATGGTCATCTGAGTTAAATTCACCCATTCTAGTCTATCTTAGTTCACTGATTCCTAAAATGTCAATGTTCAGTCTTGCCATCTCTTGTTCGATCACTTCCAATTTACTTTGATTCATGGACCTATCATTCCAGGTTCCTATACAATGTTACTGTTTACAGCATAGGACTTTACTTCCATCACCAGTCACATCCACAACTGGGTGTTATTTTTGCTTTGGCTCTGTCTCTTCATTCTTTCTGGAGTTATTTCTCCACTGTTCTCCAGTAGCATATTGGGCACCTACCGACCTGGGGAATTCATCTTTCAGTGTCCTATTTTTTTTGCCTTTCATACTGTTCATGGGGCTCTCAAGGCAAGAATACTGAAGTGGTTTGCCATTCCCTTCTCCAGTGGACCACATTTTGCCAGAACTCTCCACCATGACCCGTCCATCTTGGGTCGCCCTACACATCATGGCTCATAGTTTCATTGAGTCAGACAAGGCTGTGGTCCATGTGATCAGTTTGATTAGTTTTCTGCGATTGTAGGTTTCATTCTGTCTGCCCTCTGATGGATAAGGATTAGAGGCTTATGGAAGCTTCCTGATGGGAGAGACTGACTGAGGGGGAAACTGGGTCTTGTTCTGATGGGCAGGGCCATGCTCAGTAAATCTTTAATCCAATTTTCTGTTGATGGGCGGGGCTGTGTTTGGTGTTAAAGGGAAAGAATTACCTTGGACAAATATTCTAAAATTAATCAACTGAAAAATGAAGGGATGAAACTTAAAGCTACTTGGCGAAATATCTTTACTTGGGCAAGGAAGATTTTATTAATTATATATAGGATGTTTATTAGTCCTGTAATTGAGATGCAAATTAAAAGATGCTTACTCCTTGGAAGGAAAGTTATGACCAACCTAGACAGCATATTAAAAAGCAGAGACATTACTTTGCCAACAAAGGTCCGTCTAGTCAAGGCTATGGTTTTTCCAGTGGTCATGTATGGATGTGAGAGTTGGACTATAAAGAAAGCTGAGCGCCGAAGAATTGATGCTTTTGAACTGTGGTGCTGGAGAAGACTCTTGAGAGTCCCTTGGGCTGCAAGGAGATCCAACCAGTCCATCCTAAAGGAGATCAGTCCTGGGTGATCGTTGGAAGGACTGATGTTGAAGCTGAAACTCCAATACTTTGGCCACCTGATGCGAAGAGCTGACTCACTTGAAAAGACCCTGATGCTGGGAAAGATTGAGGGAAGGAGGAGAAGGGGATGACAGAGGATGAGATGGTTGGATGGCATCACCCACTCGATGGACATGCATTTGGGTAGACTCTGGGAGTTGGTGATGGACAGAGAGGCCTGGTGTGCTGCGGTTCATGGGGTTGCAAAAAGTCGGACACGACTGAGCGACTGAACTGAACTGAACTGAGATGCATAATTATACAGACAAATTGTCTAGCAAAGACAATTAATTTGAATTAAACAAATAAGGTTTTGAATTAATTTATTATGCTACTTTTGCAAGTATCTTTGGATTCACTTAGATCTAGAGTGATTATTTCAGTTATTTTAAAACTAGGGCTGGAATTTGAATTGAAGAACTGGTATTAGCGTAATTACAGAAATTTAAAGGTGCTTTTTGATAATATAAAATCCAAGTTCATTTTTTAAGTTGCATCTGGTTTCCAGAATGTACTTTAAATGATTCCATCAGCAATGCTGATGGCTGGTTTTTCCTTGTAAATTCACTGAATAATTGTATATGGATTAAACAGATAACACTGAAAGTAGAGTGTGATGCAGCTTCTTTTTAGACATGCCCATGTTGTTACATCACATTAGAAATGACAAGGATGCGTCCATCTTACGTGGCATGATGCCCTGGTCCACTAGTTGTTCTCTCGTCCTCCTTTGTTGCAGCCTCAGCTGGAGCACTGTAAAAAGGAAATAATCACCATTGAAGTTTACATGCAACTGTAAGGTCCAGAGGAGATATAATTAAGCTTAATTAATCTTCTATTTCATAACTGAATAGGGATACTACCATTCAATCTGTCCAAAAAAAAAAAAAAAAACCCGTTTATAATTTCTGCCTGTTGGGTGAACTCTGAAGTTCTCTCAGCATATTTTTTGCTTAGCCAGCTAATAATTTTAAGTTAATGATTAAAGCTAATAAGTATTTTTTAATAAATAAAACATCATACTTAGCAAATAAACAAAAATAGTTGGCTTATCCACTGTCTTATTAGTAAGATTCCTTAGCTTTTTAAAAAATAAGTTAATAGCAAAAATGTATTTTAAGGAAAGATAAATATATCTGGAGGAACTTACTCCATCTGGAATAAATCTTAAATAGCTTTAAAGAAGGCCAACTTCATAACAAAAATTAGACCTATGAGATACTACTAATGACCCAAGGGAAAATTTCTGAATTAAGACCTTAAAGTTTAATAATCTGTGTACAAACATAACACTGTATCTCATTCTAGAAGTTCTAAGAAAGCCATAAATCAACTGGTACCTAACCATTTTAATTAAGAGAGTAAATGAATCACTCAACTTGTAGAAAACAAGGTACCTTTCACAAAATGGGGAAATCCTGTTGGCCAAATTTAATAAAATATATATTTTTCCCCTAGATTTCTCAAGCAGATTCCTTTCATAGCATCTCTGTGTTTCTATCTGGAAAGTGAACTGATTTCAAAAAAGAGTAACAAATGAAGTAACTATGAAAAAGATTTTCCTTGGTTTAGCCTACATTCAATTTTAAGTTTACATGTTTAATTTTTATTTCAGACCATGGATGAAAACCAAGGTCAGGATTACTAAGGGCACGCTTTAGGGCTGTCAATATGCAAAAAAAGAAAAAAATTACCTGTGTGGATTTCTTAAATCGTAGGGAAAGAAGACAGTTTTGTGTGTTTTTTTCAGCAAGTGTGTGATGAGGCTGGTTTGGACCAGGCTCAATGCAACGCCCATAATGGTTCCGACTTGCAGTTAACCTGAGGCCTGACCTGTGGGACCTGCGGCCCTCACGTCGCAGCCTTGCTTTTTGCTTGGTCTGACTGCAGAGCAGAGCCCACTCTTAGATATACTTCAAAAAGAGACCTGACTGTAAAACGGCTTTTATTTTCATATTCATTGCTAAATATGAATGTCATCCTTTACTCAATATTGAAAAAAAAATTTTTATCTGCTTCTTTTGGGGGCCATAGGACCACAAAACTTCACTGACATCTCATTTATACTGAAGCAACTGAGATAAGATTCTATTACACACAGCAAAGAAAAAATCAATAAGTCAAAAAATATATGCACATGGTTCTCAATTAGAATGTTTTGCAATTCTCTGAATCAATTATACTCTAACACGAAGATCTTTTCCCTGATAACTTACAGTTTATTGAGAATACTATGTTCCCACTGTACTTCACTAGGAACAAATATAACCAGGGAGATGACATGTGGATCTGAAAGCACCCAAATGTCTGCATACTCTGACATTCTTTTGTGAATGTTGAAGCTAATGCTTGTCTGAAATCAAGGTGGTCATATTCAAGAGGCAGAATCCCAAGAAAAGAATACTGAGAAGAGAACGGGGTCAGAACAATCTCTAGTTCAAAGGCTGACACTTCTGGAACATGGTGGTCCATGTCTGTTGGAGAGTCCCCAGCAGTAGTATTTTTCCTTCCTCCTGAGGGAGTCTTCAAAGAGAGGAGTAAAATAGAAAGGGTAAAGAAAACATCAACAGCCCCCTTGTTTGGTTTAAAACAAACAAACAAAGCATCATACTAGTGAGACAAATGTGTCAAACATGATACATATTTTTAGGCAAATGGCATCTTGGAATGAGGGTGGATATGCATACTTTATTAAATATATCCCTATTATTGATCACTTAGGTTGTTTCCAATTTTTGCAACTCCTATATCTAATGCTATGGTGGATATTTTTGTGTATAAAGTTTATTCCTGGGCTGGTTCAGCCTGTGACGGGCCAGCCGCCCCTGCCAGAATAAAGTGCCGCTTGTGGAGAAGGCCAAAAAAAAAAAAAAAAAAAGTTTATTCCTTAATTCCTAAAAGGAGGAATGTCCTTATGTGGTCCATATAAGGCATGGCCATAAAGTAAGGACTAATTTTTATGCAAACCATCATCTGTGAAATTATAGTAGACATGTGAAAACATGAATATAGACTACTTTACATCCACTGCATTTAGAGAAAAATTTCCTAATTAATTTTTGAATTTTTCCAAGATGATCTGGGTTATTACCTCTTAAGGTTAACATTCATGGTTTCCTACTACATTTCAACAAAGAGAAAAATGAGTATAATTTTGAAAATTCTTGGTGTTATTCCTTGTTACAACAGACAAAAAACAAGACTGTGTCAACATATGTGGTTTTTGTTTGTTTATTGTAGCTGTGCTGGGTCTTTGTCGCTGGTGGTGGGCTTTATTGCCTAATGGCACGTGGAATCTTAGTTCTCTGGCCAGGGATTGAACCCGCATTCTCTGCGTTGAAAGGTGGATTCTCAACTGCACCACCATGGAAGTCCCAACATAAATGTTTTGAACTTGCTCTTTTTTACATACAAGAAAAGTAACAATTTTAACCACCATTCTGAAAAATGAAAGGTAGCTTATCTAATAGCAAAGAGGAAATGTCATTCTTCACCATCAGAAATAGCTCAGAGAGTAAAAAGTATCCTCTTTTAGTTCCTTTCTCCTGCATCTTAAATGGATTAAAGTGCTTCTAGAACAAGACTTTAGCATTAGTTTCCAATATTTAAAAAAAAAAAACCAAAAAACAAAAAAACCCCTTAGAATAATGTCTTTCATATAATATTTATACCCCTTTCAAATGTTTAGCTGCTATCTGAACCAGGATGATTATGTCTATTCTCTTTTGTTTCTATAAATAGAATGTTTGAAATCTTTCCATAATATGATGTAATTAAAGTGCCTTTCCACTCTAAAGAAAAAAACCCGTATTAGCAGCATTTTAAACAACATACAGCAGTTTACCATGAGTTGAATGAGCCAAAACAAAGCACAGTTTTTAGCCAGGGGACCTGCAAGGGGACGTCTGAGGGCTGTATATTACAAAAACAAGGCAGAAATGACACTTTCTGGGAAGCAGTATAGCAGGCAGCCATGGTCTTAGAAATTCCTTATAAACAGCTAGTTTCAGTTATGGGGTATGAAGGAGGGTGGGATGAGTAGGTGTTGGGGGAGATGAGTGTTTGTCTGCAAGGCAGAGAAGATTCGATGTATGTTATTTAATTACAAGACACGGGACAGAATAAACTGCAGAATTATGAGGGGAGAAAAAACACAGTCAAACCCTGAGCCAGTCAAATGAAGGCTAGTTAAATCAATGGCAAAAGCAAAGATGGGAAACTAAAGAATACTCTAGTATTGACTATGTATTGATTCTGAAGATAATATTAGGTAAAAAACAGACCCTGGTTCCAGTTTTTTACAATTATTTTTTAAGATGTTTGAGTAGTTAAGAGAATGAAGTAGTTGGACTTTGGCAAAACATTGTTAAATGTATTTAGGTGCCTGGCCCTAGAATAACAAAACAATTTAGAAAAATCAACATCTTCATATTATCTTTTGAACTTAGATACAGGAGGGATTAACTGGCCCCTAAATAAGACCCTGGAGGAGGAAATGGCAACCCACTCCAGTATTCTTGCCTGGGAAATCCCATGGACAGAGGAGCCTGGTGGGCTACAGGCCATGAGGTTAGTTCTGTAAAGATTCCCATATTTTTAGTGCTTTACTGTGAACAGGTATTTTGTAGTCCCAGAGTAAGCAGTCAACATCTTGAATGCTTTCCTGCTAAGCCTGGGACTCAGAAATGTATCAATATATGTACCAATAATTTCTCTATTTAAAAATTCATGTTTTGTAAGAATATTTCTATTAAAAGTGACACATGCACATAAAAAAGGGCATTAAAAAAAGTAAAAGATATTTTCTCAGATCAGTCTCTGTAGGCAAAAGAAACAAGAGCTTTTTCACAGCAAAGGAAATCATAAGCAAAATGAAAACCTAATCTATTGCACTGGCAGAAAGTATCTGCAAATGATGCTACTGACAATACCCAAAATATACAACGGATCATACTATAGCTCAATTAAAAAAAAAAAACATCAAACACTCCAATCAGAAAATGGGCAGAAGACCTAAATAGACATTTCTTCAAAGAAGATATATAGACGGCCAAGAGGTACATGAAAAAGAGGTTCAATGCTGCTAATTATTAGAGAAATAAAAATCAAAACCACAATGACCTCACACTGATCAGAATGGTCATCATTAAAAAGTTTACAAATAATAAATGTTGGAGAGAGTATAAGGGAACCCTTAAACACTGTTTATGAGAATGTAAATTGGTGCAGTTGCTATGGAAAACAGTATGGAGGTTCCTTAAAAAGCCAAAAACAGAGTTACCATATGATCCAGCAATCCCAGTCCTGCATATGTATCCAGAAAAAATGAAAACACTATTTCAAAAAGATCCATGGACTCCAGTGCTTACTATTTACAACAGCCAAGACATGGAAACAACCCAAGTGACAATCAAGAGAACTGATTTAAGACGATGTGGTATATATATATAAGATTAACAGACACAAACGACTATAAGAAACACATAAGCAATAAAGATTTACTGTATAGCACAGGGAACTACATTCAATATCTTGTAATAACTTTTAATGGGAAATAATCTAAAAATATAAATCACTTTGTGATACACCTGAAACTAACACAACACTGTAAGTCAACTATACTTCAATTAAAAAAAAAAGTGAAAGCCAGTCCATCCTACCAGAGACCTCCAGTCCTCCTCCACAAAGGTAACCACTGTTAAATTTCTATGGTTCTAGAGAATGTTTTGTGAATATTTTGACAATGTTAAATA